GGAGGAGGAGGAGGAGGAGCAGGAGGAGGAGGGGAAGAGGAGTAGGAGGAGGAAGAGGAGGAGGAGGAGGAGGAGGAGCAGGAGGAGGAGGCGGAGGAGGAGGAGGAGGAGGAGCAGGAAGAGGAGGAGGAGCAGGAGGATGATGAGGATGATGATGATGATGAGGAGGAGGAGACGGAGGGGGAGGTGGCTGGAGCTCGTGCAAAGGTGCAGGCTGGCCTGGAAGCCGTCGCCGCTCTCTTCAGTCCGAGCGGTTGCTCCGCTCTGCCTGGTACCTCGAACCTGCCATCGCCTCCGCTCTTCCCCCCCAGTGGCATAGCGCGCACTCCCTGCCCCGCGGAGGCAAAACTCGACCGCCGCCTCTTCGTGCGCTTGCCCGACGCTCATCTTCCGACGACGAGGCTCCTCTGTACGACGAGGGGCTCCAGGTCTTAGCGGGCCAAATGGGCTCTCTCAGGCACGCCGTTGTCTCGCCTTGCACAGCAACAGCAGCAACTATTGGCACTGGCAGGTGCCGCCAGTGAGAGTACGCGCGCGCACGCTCTTCGACACTCGAACCACTGCCGAGGTCTCTGCTCCGCTCCACTCCCGAGCGGGCTTTGCCTCGGGTGTTCCCGCCAGCTCTGCGGAAGAAGGCCAGCGGCCGCGCCGCTCACAGAGACGGGCGTTCCCAAGCTCTCGACCCCGACTGGCCCTCACCGCCTTGACGATGTCCGCCGCGTAGGGAGCCTCTCCCGCCGGCAGAAACTGCACCTTTACCGAGAAGGAGGAGGAGGAGGAGGAGGGGGAGGAGGAGGAGGATGAGGAGGAGGAGGAGGAGGAGGAGGAGGAGGCGGAGGAGGAGGAGGAGGAGGAGGAGGCGGCGGCGGCGGCGGCCGGGAATAGGGAAAGTCCTTGCCCTATGGCCCCCCCCGCTGACCTGTTCGGTGTGCTTGAGAAGGGATTTGTGGGCCCCCGCGCGAAGAGGCCTCCGACTGCCCCACACATCCCTCACTGGCACATAGATCATTGGCGATGCTCTGTATGTCTGAGATCGGCCTCACCGCTCACAAAGACCCCATGCATAGGCCTCAACCCTTCCCTCTTGGAGGTTCTTAAGAAACCTGGCCATTGTGGACACGCCCTTCAGCTGGCGTACGTGGTTGAGTCTGGGTTCCCTGCTTTGTTCTGTTCCCGCTGCGGAGAATTCGGGACCCAGAAGGCCTTAAAGCTGAGGTCACAGTGTGAGCCTAGCAAGAGTAAAGAGAAGCGTGCCCTACTTGCAGGCGAGCTACCCTCTACTACTTGTCGAATTCATCTCGTCCAACAGGTCAGCGGCTCGGCGTTGGGGGAGTTTTGTTCTCGACTGTAACTGTTTTCTGGGCCAGTGCCCCAGGCGTAGTTGCACAGTGTCTGACTCCGCCTCTATGTACCCACAGTGCCCACAGGAGGAGGAGGAGGAGGAGGAGGAGGAGGAGGAGGAGGAGGAGGAGGAGGAGGAGGAGGAGGACAAGGAGGAGGAGGAGGAGGAGGAGGAGCAGGAGGAGGAGGAGGAGGAGGAGGAGGAGGAGGAGGAGGAGGAGGAGGAGGAGGAGGAGGTGGATGAACAGGACCCCAGCGAGACAGGCCCCGCCGAACCCCCACCCCTGCCACCCCTTGACGACCAGGCCAGCGCCTGCTGCCGACCACCCCGTCCGCGGGTCCCACCTGCGTCCTGGCGTCTGGCGGGCCCGGCTGGCCCCGCCCCCCCCGCAGGCCTCACTTGCGCCGTAAAAACAAAAATCACGACGCGATTCGTTTTGCTGTCGTCGGCCTCTGGGGGCCCTCGCTGGGCTCTAGGACCGTCAAACAACGATTCTGGATGGAAAGCCCAGAAGGAGCGGTTTTGGGGGCCCCTCGGGCCGTCTTGGAGCGTCGGAAACTTAACAAATCGAGGTCCCCCAAAACATTAAAAGACCGAAGGGGAAGCAATGCTTTGGGCCTCCCGGCGCCCTCTTGGGAAGGCTTCTGGGGCTCTTTGTGGGTGCCTGGAACGTTTCTTGGGCCGTCTTTGGGCAGTGCCCCATGGAGTAATCTTACGTCGGGCGTGTCCCTCTACAGGAGGAATGCTCAAACATGGTAAGTCAAATCGTCCAGGAACGTTTTTTGTTTTGTTGTTGTTGTTTTTTGTTTTTTGCTGTAAAGAAGCAGTAGTACGTTTTCCCGTTACTTGTTTGTATTCAGTCTTTTTTTGTTTTGGTGATCATTTTTGACTATGTTTTATGTTTCGCCCAATCTCCGCCTGAAGGGGGACACGCCCGACCTACGAGTAGCCGCCCGAGACTTCCCGTGGGTCCGCGCTGCGACAGCACCGCGGCGCCGTGGGCCTGGGCCTCGGGCCTCGCCGCCCGCCAGGGCTTCAGCACCGACCGCGACGAGCTGATGGAGGTGTTCCTGGTCATGGACACGGACGGGAACGGGATGCTGAACGCCACGGAGATTCAGGACTGGTCGGAGGGGGAGGATCTGGGCAAGAGCGCGTCCGTCGCCCACTCCTTGCGAAAAGGGGGGGCCCCAGCTTCGGGCTGCCCCCCCCCCCCCCTCCCTCGGAAGGGGGGGGGGGGCGGGGGGCTTCCGAAGCCCCCCTCCCCCCTGCCCCGCCTTCCTTCTGTGGGCCTGTTTTAGCGGGGGGGCCCTGGCAAGCGTGGGGGGGGGCTTGGAAGCTACCCCCTCCCCCTCCCCCACTTTTCGGAGCCCGGGGTCAGCCTGGGCTACCCTTTCAGAGGGGGGGGTCCGAAGCTACCCTCCCCCTTTGTTTGGATGTTGTAGCTGGGGGGTCCCTGGCTAAAGTGGGGGGGGCTTGAAAGCTACCCCTCCCCCTCCGCTCCTTTTCGGGGCGCGGGGTAAGCCTGGGCTCTCCTTTCACAAGGGGGAGGGGGCTTCCGAAGCTACACCCCGTCCCCCTCCTTCTATTAGTTTTGCTAGCTGGAGGGCCCTGGCTGAAGGGGGGCTTTGAAGCCACCTTTATTATTTGGTTTTCGGCGCCCCGTTGGCTTTCGGGGTGCTTGTGGTTTTCGGCGTCTTTTTGGTTTTCGGCGCATCGTTAGTTTTTGGCACCCCTTGAGTTTTTGGCGCCCCTTTGGTTTTTGGCGCTCCTTTGGTTTTCGGTGCTCCTGTGGTTTTCGGCACTCCTTTGGTTTTCGGCGCCCTTTTTGGTTTTCTGCGCGCCCTATGGTTTTCGGCGCATCGTTGGTTTTCGGCGCCCTCTTGGGTTCCGGCGCCCCTTTCGGTTTTCGGCGCCCTCGCCTTTTTGGTTTTCGGCGCCCATTTAGTAGTTTTCGGCGCCCTTTAAGTTTTGGGCGCTCTTTGGTTTTCGGCGCTCCTTTCGTTTTCGACGCCCTTTTGGTCATCGGCACCCGCTTGGTTTTTAGGCGCCCTTCTGGTTTTCGGCGCATCGTTAGTTTTTGGCGCCCCTTTGGTTGTCGGCGCCTCTTTGGTTTTCGGCGCCCCGTTGGTTTTCGGCGCCCTTTTGGTTCTCAGCGCCTAGTTGGTTTTCGGCGTTTTTTTTTCGGCCCCCTTTCCGTCTTCGGAGCTTCTGTTGTTTTCGGCGCCCCTTCGGTTTTCGGTGTTCTTTTGGTTGTCGGCGCCCCTGCGGTTTTTCGGCACACCCTTGGTTTTCGGCGCATCGTTGATTTTCGGCGCCCCTTTTGGTTTTCGGCGCCCTTTGGGTGTTTGGCGCCCCTTTGATTTTTGGCGCCCTCTTTGTTTTCGTCGCCCCTTTGGTTTTTGGTGTCCTGTTGGTTTCTGGCGCATCTTTGATTTTCGGCGCCCCTTTTTGTGGCCGGCGTTTTTTTTGGTTTCCGTCCTCCTTGTGGTTTTCTGTGCCCCCTTGGTGTTCGGGGCCCCTTTGGTATTCGGCGGGCGCCCTTTTGGTTTTCGGCGCTTCTTTGGTTCTCGGCGCCCTGGTTGTTTTCAGCGCTCCTTTGGTTTTCGGCGCTCCTTTGGTTTTCGGTGCCGTTTTGGTTTTCGGTAACCTTTGGGTGTGCGGCGCCCTTTTGGGTTTTCGACACTGTTTTGGTTATCGGCGCCCTTTTGGTGTGTGGTGACCCTTTGGTTGTTGGCACCCTATCGGGTTTCGGCGCCCCTTTGGTTTTCGGCGTCCTTTTCAAGTTCGGCGATCCTTTGGTTTTCGGCGCCTTTTTGGGTTTCGGCGCTCTTTGATTTTCGGCGCCCTGTTGGCTTTCGGCACCCCTTCGGCTTTCGGAGCTCTTTTGGTTTTCGGCGCCCCTTTGGTTTTCGGCGTCTGCTGGTTTTTGGAGGCGTTTTTGGTTTTCGGCGTCTTTTTGGTTTTCGGCTTTCTTTTGATTTTCAGCGCCTTTGGGTTTTGGGCGCCCCTTTGCTCTTCGGCGCTCTTTTTGTTTTCGGTGCTTCTTTGTTTTTCGGCTTCCTTTTGATTGTCGGCGCCCCTTTGGTTTTCGGCGCCCCTTTGGTTTTCGGCGCCCTCTTGGTTTTCGGCGCTCCTTTGGTTTTCGGTGTCTTTTTGGTTTTCGGCGCACTTTCGGTTTTCGGCGCCCTTTCGGTTTTTGGCGTTCCTTCGGTTTTCGGCACGCCCCTGGTTTTCGCACCCTTTCGGTTTTCGGTGGCCCTGTGTTTTTCGGCGCTCTGTTGGTTTTCGGCGCCCTTTTGGTCTTCTGCGCTCCTTCCTTCAGCCAAAGGGGGGGGTTCCAAGCCCCCCACCCCTCAGCCACAAAGGGGGCTCCCACAGTTCCGCTGCTTAGCTGGAGTGGCCGGCCTGGGGGCGAGCGTGGCTGCTTGCCACTGGCAGGAAGGCGCAAACCTGCGTCGCGCTCGGTGAAAACCCCCCAGGCGGCCCCGAGGCAGCCGCGCTGGGAACCCTACGCCTGTTCGCCGGCGAAGGATCCCGCCGCTTGCCTCGGGGGCGCCTGCGGGGGCTTCCTATGAGCAGATGGAAAGGCCCCTGCGCCTTCCCCCTGGTTGTGCATGGGCAATGCCGCCACCGCCGGCTGCCTGTGGCACGCTTGCCCTTGCACGTCCACCCATACCTTTGCCTCTCATCCCTGTCACGTCCTTCGCAACTTTCACCAGTTCAACTTACCTCGGAGGGCTAGGCAGATGCGCCTGGCGCCAACAGAGGGTGTTCGCAGCCGACGCAGTGCAAAATCCCACGTTCGGCTTTGTTTGCGTGGACACGGACGGTCTTCGCCGTACCTCGCTGCGTGCCAGCAGTGCGCGAGCCACCTCATCTGCATTCTGCTTTCTACCTCACGGCCCTACCGCCCAATTGTCTGCAGGTGGGACGCCTTGCCACGTTGTCCAAAATGGCACCTCTACGGAGGGGGACCCCGGGCACCCTCCAGAGCGCTGGCCCAACAGGGCCAGGCGATTCGTGGGAGGGGGGACCCGGCTCAGCCACAAGAAACAGACGGCCCAAGGGCCATCCCCCCGCTGTTGCAGCTGCCGCAGCCACACTCTTCACGCCTATGCCAGCATCTTCCCTTCACCCCCTCCCCTTCGAGATTCGACTTGTCCTCTCCTTTCCTCTCCCTTCTTGCCTGCGGGACCTGGATCCCTAATCTCTTCGATGTTGTTCTGCTCCCCCAGAAGGGGCCCGACCAGGTCTCCCTGCTGGAAGCGGCAGCGTTTGACGAAATCCGTTGCCATCAGTGTGTCAGTGTCTCAGTGTCTCAGTGTCTCAGGAGGAGGAGGAGGAGGAGGAGGAGGAGGAGGAGGAGGAGGAGGAGGACCTCCCAATCCTCCCTCGTCCCCCGTTCTACCTATGGTAGTGGTGGTTGAGAATTTGCCAATCGAATTCCTTTGAGGTTCCATTCAGCAGCGGCGCTGGTACACCCGTGGTCGAAATCAAGGCTGACCGCCACAGGCCCGCGGAATCGGGTTTGGTGTTGCCCAGTGGGTGTTGATTCTGGGCGCGCTCTGGCTTCATCTTGCTTGATGGCTCTTTGATCGGGCTTTCGAATAGGGGATCAACTACACAATTGGTTTACTCCAAAATTGATGTCCCCGCCGGGTATGCAAGAAACGCGTAGAGTGCTCGGATCTGTACAGGGCATTCTAGCATTTTCCGTAATTTCGGTGGGACAATCAATTTTGGGGTACATCTCTGTAGTCGATCCTCTCCTCGAGGCGTGATGTCCCTTCGTCGCTCTTTTGAAAAACCTCCCGGGGGTGGCCTCCTAACCTTAGGTCGGGCATGTCCCCCATACAGGCGGATTTTGGACGAAAAGTAACATCGGAAACATTCAAACCAAATCCAATTATCCCAGTGCGACCCTACCTAGGAGTTGGAGCCTCTAGGAAGGCAACATTAGTAGGAGCGGTAAACGCCGTCCTCCTCCTTCTCCTCATGGTCGTAGTTGTAGCAGTAGCGGTATTATTATTATTATTGTTATTATTATTATTACTATTATTCTTATTATTATTATTTTTATTATTATTATTATTATTATTATTATTATTATTATTATATTATTATTATTATTATTATTAGTAGTAGTAGTAGTAGTAGTCGTAGTAGTCGTAGTAGTCGTAGTAGTAGTAGTAGTAGTAGTAGTAGTAGTAGTAGTAGTAGTAGTAGTAGTAGAAGTAGTAGCAGTAGTAGTGGCAGTAGTGGCAGTAGTAGTAGTAGTAGTAGTAGTAGTAGTAGTAGTAGTAGTAGTAGTAGTAGTAGTAGTAGTAGTAGTAGTAGTAGCGCCAGAACCGCCGACGCCACGCCGTAAGTGAAGCAGCAGCAGCCAGTCGTCGGGTTCATGTCTCCCGGCCGGTGCTATGTGCGAAACCTTCGTGAATCCTAAGGGCTCAAGCTGCCCCACTAAGAGCTCAAGATGGCCCACAGACGGACAACATGCATGGAACATACGTGCGCACATACATGTAAGTACATATATATATATATACATAGCAGCAGCAATAGTGGATGCTGTGCTGCGCTATGCTATGCTATGCTATGCTATGCTCTGCTCTGCTCTGCTATGCTATGCTATGCTATGCTGCGCAATGCTAGGCTGGGCTAGGCATAGGCTATGCTATGCTATGCTATGCTATGCTGCGCTATGCTATGCTGCGCTATGCTATGCTATGCTATGCTATGCTTTTGCTTTGCCTTCGCTTTTGCCTTCACTTTTGCCTTTGCTTTTGCTTGGCACCCAGGGAGCGCAACTGGGGGAACCGCGCGTTTGCTTTTACCTTTGCTGTTGCTTTTGCTTGGCTCCCATGGGACTTGGGGAACCGCCCGGGGCGGTTTGCACTGCCCGGCCCCTTTAAGCCAAGCGAGCAGAGCCTAGGTAGGGAAAAATAGTCAAACAATCTGTCCCAGACTATCTTTGTATCATTTTTGAAAATTCCTCCTGTAGAGGGACACGCCCGACTTAATCCTGACCCTTCCTCGGGTCGGCCGGATCCAGGATCGAGGACCGAGGATCGAGGGCGCAAGATCGACCGTCGAGGATTGAGGACCGAGGATCCAGGATCGGGTCGAGCCTCGAGGGCCGAGGACCGACCCCCCCGCCCTCGAGGACACCATCGGCAGGCTGGGCGGCGGGTGGCTCTCCGGCGCGGAGCTGGAGCAGATGCTCGGCGACGCGCTCGCGAACTGCGACGGCGAGATAGACTTCAACGGATGGGGCGCGGGGCGCGGGGGTTTTGGACGAAAAATCAAAAATACCCCTAAAATGCCCAACCATGTTCAAATCTTGCTCAAAAAATGGTCCCCTACCTTTTTTGTAACTATTTTTGAACATGCCTCCTGTAGAGGGACGGGCCCAACTTACGATTTGACGAGTCTTGCGGAGGCGGGCGGCCAGCACCATCTCCACTGAGTCTCCATTTTTGGTGTATTTTTTATTTTTCGTCGAAAGTCCCCCTGTAGGGGGACACGCCCGACATAAGGGCAGCGGGTGGCGGCCGTCTCGGCCGAGCCCCTGCGAGGCCCCCGGGGGCCCGCGCGAGCTGCGAGAGCGGCCTCCGTCGCTGTAGCCCCGCCCTGCGCCAGGAGAGCGGCCTCCAGGAACGCTTGCGGGATTTTTTTGGGGGACACTGGAGCATCTGCGTCACATACCGTTGGCGGGCTGTATTTCAATCCCAGGGCCTTTTGAGGGTCGGGGACGACGTCGGGGTGGTGTGGTGTAGACTTTTTTGGCCGTGTTCCTAGGGAAGCGACGAAACATGTATACACCAGCGTCCCGTATACACCAGGATCCGCTTTCCTGTGCCAGCTTGATTGGCTCCCAGCTCGCCGAGTACCGCTTCGTCACGCGGAGTTCCGCCCAGAAAATGTTAGGCTTAAAAGGGTGGCTCCTAGAGAGCAGGCCACACAACAGCTTACAGGCCGAGCCTGGGGCGCTCCTCGCTACGATCGAAGTGGGTACGGAAAGAACGGGGACAAAGATCACGGGCGGCGAACACATCCGTATCCGCGCCCTCGCGGTCTGGATTCTGGGGCGCGATCACGCAGATACGCGGGCGCACGAATACGTTCCTCGCGGGGGATCCGCGAACAAATGCCCCGTATCCGCGGGCCCGGTCCGCGAGGCCGCGGATGCTGATATTCTTTTCGCCCACGAGGAGATTGACAGCAGTTTGTGCTCAGTTTGAACAGGGCTCGCTGTCGGTGCCGCCGCGGGCGGTATCCACTTGAGGCAGGGCTGCCTGCCCCACAGCGGCCGCTATCGGTTTTGGACAACATTTGCCGGTGGGCATTGTGCCCCTTTTTCGGTACCCAGTCCGGGCGTCCGAATGTCCGAAGAGGAGCAGGAAGGAGGACGAGGAGGAGGAGGAGGAGGAGGAGGAATAATTATAGCAACAAGAATAATATTTGCAATAATTTTATTAATCGTAATAGTCAGAATCAACATAAAAATAATGTGACTCAGGCAAATGATATAATAATGCGAATCCTTATGCGAAGAAGAGTAAGACTAAGAGAAATCACGCTACTTGTATTATGTATTAACGCGTATAATAATATGAAGAAGCAGAGTAATAAGCTACTAGTAATTCAGGTACTAATGTTAGTTAACACTAGTAAGAGCAATGATAGCACTAACGCAAACAAGTATAGTATTAGTATCAAAATTAGTAGGCTGATAACACTAGTCTTACTTATAGTAAGCACCGTACTAGTAACCGACTACTTCTAATATTGATACTACGATTAATATCCAGACTCGTACTAATATTAACATTCGTATGTCTGCTGAAACTCATAATGCTAATGCTACTAGAATTATACGAATCATGTTACGGTCAAAAATGAGAAACACAAGAGTAATAACGATCGTATTAGTATTATTGTTCCCTACCTAGGCTCTGCCTAGAAGGGTTCTTACTCTCTGGGCTTAAAGGGGCCGGGCAGTGGAAAGCGCCCCGGGCGGTTCCCCCAGTATCCGCCCCGCGGTTTCCCCAGTTACGTCCCCTTAGCTTAGCTTGGCTTATCTCATTTTAGCTTAGCCTAGCCAAGCTGAACTTAGCTTAGCTTAGCTTAGCGTAGCTTAGCTTAGCCCAGCATAACTTAGCTTAGCCTAGCCTAGCCTAGCTTAGCTTAGCTTAGCTTAGCTTAACCTAGCCTAGCTTAGCTTAGCATAGCCTAGCTCAGCTTAGCTTAGCGCAGCGCAGCATTAGCATTAGCATAGCATAGCATAGCATAGCATAGCATAGCATAGCATAGCGCAGCATAGCATAGCGCAGCATAGCATATCATAACATATCATAGCATAGCGCAGCATAGCATAGCATAGCATAGCATAGCATAGCATAGCATAGCATAACATAGCACAGCTTAACCTAACACAGCACAGCACAGCATATCATAGCATAGCATAGCATAGCGCAGCATATCATAGCATAGCATAGTATAGTATAGCATAGCATCGCGCAGCACATCATAGCATAGCATCACATAGCATAGCATAGCGCAGTACAGCATATGATAGCATAGCCTAGCATAGCATAGCATAGCGCAGCATAACATAGCATAGCATAGCGCAGCATAGCATACCATATCATATCATAGCGCAGCATTGCATAGCATAGCATAGCCCAGCATAACACAGCGCAGCCAGCATACCCTAGCATATCATAGCATGGCATAGCGCAGCATAGCGCAGCATAGCGCAGCATATCATAGCATCGCATAGCATAGCGCAGCATAGCATAGCTTTGCATAGCATAGCATGGCTTAGCTTAACATAGCACATCGCAGCATAGCACAGCATAGCATAGCATAGCGCAGCATAGCATAGCTAGCTGTAGATGTAGATGTATATGCATGTGTACATGTAGATGTAGCTGTAGGTGTAGATGTTGATGTAGGTCTGGATGTATAGGCAGGTATTAAGCCGTACTACTACTACTACTACTACTACTACTACTACTACTACTACTACTACTACTATTACTACTACTACTGCTACTACTGCTACTACTGCTACTACTACAACTTCTACTACTGCTGCTGCTGCTACTACTACTACTACTACTACTACTACTACTACTACTACTACTACTACTACTACTACTACTACTACTACGCTACTACTACAACTGCGACGATGAGGAGAAGGATGAGGACGGCGTTTACCGTTACTACTAATATTGCTCTCCTCGTGGCTCCAACTCCTAGGTAGGATCGCTCTGGGATAATCGTTCTTAATATGAGCAACAATAAGACTACGACTGGCAAGACTAATAAGCAGGCAAATACTTACAACAATAGTTATACGACTCCTAGTAATAATCGTAATCATGATCGCACCAATAATTCTATTACTAGTACTACTACTACTACTACTACTACTACTACTACTACTACTACTACCACCACCACCACTATTACAACTACAACAACTACTACTATTATTACGACTACTACTACTACTACTACCACTACTACTACTACTACTACTACTACTACTACTACTACTACTACTACTACTACTACTACTACTATTACTACTACTACTACTACTACTACTACTACTACTACTACTACTACTACTACTACTACTACTACTACTACTACTTACACTTCTACTGTCTACTACTACTACTACTACTACTACTACTACTACTACTACTACTACTACTACTACTACTACTACTACTACTACTACTACTACTACTACTACTACTACTACTACTACTACTACTACTACTACTACTACTACCACTACTACTACTACTACTACTACTACTACTACTACTACTACTACTACTACTACTACTACTACTACTACTACTACTACTACTACTACTACTATGACTAGTAATAATAGCAAGAAGAGGGGGAGGAAGAGGAGGATGAGGAGGAGGAGGAGGAGGAGGGGCCTAGCTTGATAACATTTTTCGCTCTCGGAGGACGCGCAAGGGGGGGCGGTGCAAAGGGGGGGGGCAGCGCGGGCTGCCGAACAAGGGGCCCCTGAGGGCCCCTTGAAAGTGGCCCTCTAGGGCGCCAAAGGGGGCCTGGAGGGCCCGAGAAGGGCGCCTCTCTCTCTCTCTCTCTCTGTCCCCCCCCCATATATCGCTCCCCCCCCATTTATCGCCTCCCCCTATCCCCCCCCTTTCGATTGCCCCCCATAAATTCGCGCCCAGCGCTCTGACTAGCCGATTCGCGAGCTGCGCGCTTTTCCGCTTCTCGAGAGACGGTGGGGCGGCCGCAGTGCTGTCGGGCATGGGCGGCGGGCGCCCCCGGCTGGGCCGCGGGCTGGGGCTCTGCGGCCACCTGCGAGCCCTACCCCCTCGGGTCCCATATACGCCGAGGTATCGAGCACCCTTGCTCGGGTTCTTTCTGTTGCAGACATGCTTCAAGTTCTGCGTCCTGGCCCGTCTTTCTCGGGAAGACAATTGTCGGGTTGGGAGGCTGGGGTTGGGAGAAATGTGGATCTCATTACCCGTAGGCTGCCGAAGGTATCGTTCATTGCATCCGGATGCTATTGCTTATGCCCTTCATCCTCCCAACCCCTTCCCCCAACGCGAAAAGTGTTCTCCTCACTTTCAGAAGCCCGACCTACAGGGATTGGGTTCGCAGGTGGTTGCGTAACCCTGAGATCCGACGTTGCGAAAAAATCAGCCTGGCGAAGAACCCAACCGAATGCAGTTGTGAGTACCGCTGTTGTGGGTATCGTCTTCCGTGGAGCTTTCTTTGGGCCACGAAACGCCGTACTGGGTGGGGGGGACGCATGCGAACTGCGCCACCTGGGACCTTCGGCGGAGCTTCCTGGGGGGCGACGAAGCGCTGTACTGGGCGGGTAGGACGCATGCGAACTGCGCCACGGTGGAGCTCCCTCTGGGGCCACGAAGCGCTGTAGTGCGTAGGGGAAACGCATGCGAACTGCGCCACTGGGACCTTCGGTGGAGCTCCCTATGGGGCCGCGAAGCGCTGTACTGGGTTGGGGGGATGCATGCGGACTGCGCCACTGGTACCTTCGGTGGAGCTCGCTCTGGGGCCACGAAGCGCTGTACTGGGTGGGGGTGGGGCCACGAAGCGCTGTACTCGGTGGGGGGGACGTATGCGACCTGCGCTACTGACCTTCGGTGGAGCTCGCTCTGGGGCCAAGAACCGGTGTACTGGGTGTGGGGGGACGCATGCGATCTGCGCCACTGGGACCTTCGGTGGAGCTCTTCTGGGGCCACGAAACGCTGTACTGGGCGGGGGGGGCGCATGCGAACTGCGCCAGTGGGACCTTCGCTGGAGCTCCCTTGGGGGCCACGAACATCTGTACTGGGTGGGAGAGACGCATGCGAACTGCGGTGGAGGAAGGAGGGGGAGGAGGAGGGGAGGAGGAGGACAGGAGAGCAGAGGAGAGGAGGAACGCGGGGCGCTGTCTCTTCAACGCGACGATCCAGCACCACAGGATGGCTGGTAATTACAACATCGTGAACAACCGCGACTGGGGCCCTGGACCCCATCTTTCTGCGCCATTTCTCGAGCCGGATCGATCCGTGAGGGTCCCCGGGCCCGACAGGGGCCGAAGCCGCCTGGCGTGAAGGAGTTGCAGCGCCAGGGTCTCAGAGGGAGCGGTGGCCCGAGACAGGGGCCCTCAGCTGCGGAGAATCTGTATCAGCAGAGTACCAAGACGCTGAAGTGGGGGCTACGTTACGTTTGGCTCTGGGAGGGGCTCTGGAGCTAGGCCTCCCACGTCGGGTCCGAGTAGATCGGGTCGGAGGACTGCGTCGCATCGCCGATGTATCGGCGATGCGGCTCGATGTGGAGCCCTATTTTCTCCGCGCCGAGGCATCGGCGATGCATCGGAGATGCATCACCGATGCATCGCCGATGCCTCGGCGATGCGGTGCATTTCTCCGACCCCATCTGCTCTGAACCCATCTAACCAGGAGGCCTCTATCGACTACACGTCAGAGTGACCCTTCGCCGGAGTGACCTTCAGTGCGGACCCACTGGGCTCCCCCGATCGCCGAACGCGAGGCGTCAATGGCGTCTTGCGCGCTTGTGTTTGGTCCCCTCGCGGCCCCCAAGAAGCCGCGCACCAAAGGTCACTCTTACCCAGGGTCACTCTTGCGTGCAGCCGAAGGTGAGGTGTTGTCAGCAGCACTTGGGTTCGGGTATTCCCGAACCGGCCAGCACGTCTCTCTCTCTCTCACTAGCTGCGTCTGGCGCTTCCGACGCCAGCTCCCTTGGGGCACCAGCCCAATCCAGTCCTTCCTCTCTCTCTGTCTGCCCTCTCTCCTCCTCTGCCCTCCCCTCTGCCGCCAAGTTGTCTGTGCTCAGGAGCTCGCAGAGGCCCCGCCGGACCAGCTGATGTTCGGGGTGTTGCGGGGTCAAGTGTCAGCCAGACTGTCTCGGCTAGCGCACGATTGGTGATCTTTTTTTATTCATTGTTTTGCCGATCGGCGCGGGCCCCCCACCCCCCCCCTCCCCCCCTGGAGTAGATCTTGGCTTTCTTTGGGCGCCTGTTTCGAGCAGGTGGAGCTCTCCTCCATAGGACGCACGGTCCCAAAGAGGCGCACTAAACAGAGGTCTGGAGCCAGACCCTCCCCCTCCCCTCTTCGCTCAATGTCGAACCGCCGAATAATTATCCTGGCGAGAGACCCAACCATACGCAAGTGTGAGAACCGCAAGGCAGGTGGGACGAAGCAAGGGGATTTTCCTATGGGGCCACGAACCGTGTGAGGGGGTGCGCCAAAATGGGGCGGGGCCGCCATGCGAACCCTGCCACTGGGGCCTTCGGTGGAGCTCCCTATGGGGCCACGAACCGTGTGAGGGGTGCGCCAAAATGGCGCGGGGCCGCCATGAGAACCCTGCCTCTGGGGCCTTCCGTGGAGCCCTCTATGGGGCCACGAACCGTGTGAGGGGTGCGCCAAGATGGAGCGGGGCCACCATACGAACCCTGCCACTGGGGCCTCCGGTGGAGCCCTCTATGGGGCCACGAACCATGTGAGGGGTGCGCCAAAATGGGGCGGGGCCGCCATGCGAACCCTGCCACTGAGGCCTTCGATGACTCCCTATGGGGCCACGAACCGTGTGACGGGTGCGCCAAAATGGCGCGGGGCCGCCATGCGAACCCTTCCACTGGGGCCTTCGGTGGAGCTCCCTATGGGGCCACGAACAATGTGAGGGGTGCGCCAAAACGCGGGGCCGCCATGCGAACCCTGCCACTGGGGCCTTCGGTGGAGCTCCCTATGGGGCCACGAACCGTGTGAGGGGTGCGCCAAAATGGCGCGGGGCCGCCATGCGAACCCTGCCACTGGGGCCTTCGGTGGAGCTCCCTATGGGGCCACGAACCGTGTGAGGGGTGCGCCAAAATGGCGGGGCCGCCATGCGAACCCTGCCACTGGGGCCTTCGGTGGAGCTCCCTATGGGGCCACGAACCGTGTGAGGGGTGCGCCAAAACGCGGGGCCGCCATGCGAACCCTTCCACTGGGGCCTTCGGTGGAGCTCCCTATGGGGCCACGAACAATGTGAGGGGTGCGCCAAAACGCGGGGCCGCCATGCGAACCCTGCCGCTGGGGCCTTCGGTGGAGCTCCCTATGGGGCCACGAACCGTTTGAGGGGTGCGCCAAGATGGAGCGGGGCCACCATACGAACCCTGCCACTGGGGCCTCCGGTGGAGCCGTCTATGGGGCCACGAACCATGTGAGGGGTGCGCCAAAATGGGGCGGGGCCGCCATGCGAACCCTGCCACTGAGGCCTTCGATGACTCCCTATGGGGCCACGAACCGTGTGACGGGTGCGCCAAAATGGCGCGGGGCCGCCATGCGAACCCTTCCACTGGGGCCTTCGGTGGAGCTCCCTATGGGGCCACGAACAATGTGAGGGGTGCGCCAAAATGGCGCGGGGCCGCCATGCGAACCCTGCCACTGGGGCCTTCGGTGGAGCTCCCTGTGGGGCCACGAAGCGCTGTACTGGGCGGGTGAAACGCAGGGAGGAGGGAGGAAAAAGACGAGGAGGAGGAGGGGGAGGAGGAGGAGGAGGAGGAGGAGGAGGAGCAGGATGAGTAGGAGGAGGGAAGGAGGAACGCGGGGCACCGTCTCTTCAAAACGAGGACTCAACACCACAGGATGGTTGGGAAAAAAAACGTTCACTTGCACATTCTGCCATGTTGAAAGGCGATGGGATGCGCGGATTGGTCAAGCGGAGGCTTCAAATACGCCGTGACGAACTCGCACAAGGCTGGCTGGAACACCTTCGTTTGAATGATCAGCAAGCCTTCTCGGTCGGTCACTGGCTCCGAGCGTCCAGCACCGCCACTTGCTATCCTACACTGCCGCGAGCCTCTGTTGCGGCTGCTGCTTCGTCCCCTCGTCCCGTCCGCCTCTCATACCTTGATTCGTCTGTGTCCTCTCAGTTTTCAAGTGCATCCTGAATCTGAACACCGGCACATGCTTCTGTCTCCGTCGCTGCGTCTACGCCTTCCGTTTTCTTAGTGCTCACTGTTTCCTTCCCCCCCTTTTTTCGTTCTCTCTCTCTCTCTCTCGCTCTCTCTCGCTATCCCTCTGCCCCCCCGCGCTCTGTCTCTGTCTCTCCTTCCCCCCCTCGCTCCCTCTCTGTTTCTCCCCCCCCTCTTTTTCCTCTTCCATCTCTCCCCCTCTCTCCCTCGCAGTTGCTCGCCACCTCTGGGACACGAGGCGGAGGAGGAGGAGGAGGAGGAGGAGGAGGAGGAGGAGGAGGAGGAGGAGGAGGAGGAGGAGGAGGAGGAGGAGGAGGAGGAGGAGGAGGAGGAGGAGGAGGAGGAGGAGGAGGAGGAGGAGGAGGAGGAGGAGGAGGAGGAGGAGGGATGGAGGAGACGGAGGAGGCACTCGTGGAGCCTCCCCCTGCCCCCGATGCCCTGCCGAGGCCTCCCGTGCGCGCGCGGCGCGCGGCTGGTCGAACGACGAGTGGTGGCGGGACCCGGCCGCCCTGCTGCCGGCGAACATGCTCGACAACGCCACGCCGGAGGAAGCCGCCTTGTCTTCTCTCCTACTTCGCAGGCCTATGGAGGCTGGCACCAGCACCAATCTATGCGGTGTTCCTCCTCCGAGGGAAGAAGATCCCGATCTCGGTGATGGTGGTAATCTTCTGGCTTCCAAGGTGACCGAAATATTACCAACCCCGAAAGGATCGTCTTCCCCCTGTGGAGGCAAACCCCTGTGTTGGTGTTGGTGCCAATTTCCAGGCCTCCAACTTCTCCCGACGAAGAAAAGAGTTCGGCGGCGCGCGGAGGGGGGCATGGGTCTAGGCCTCCTAGGATGGGGTCCGAACAGATGGGGTCCGAGGATCGCGCCGCATCGCCGACGCATCGCCGGTGCGGCTCCATGTGTATCCCGATTTGCGTCGCGTCGACGTTGCCGATGCATCGCCAACGTCGACGATGCATCGCCAGTGCATCTCCGATGCATCGCCGATGCATCGCCGATGCATCGACGATGTATTGCCGATGTATCGGCGATGCGGCGCGATCCCCCGACCCCATCTACTCCGACCCCATCTAGAAGGCCTCTAATGGGGGAGTGGGGAAGGCTTCTGAGAAGCACCCCTGCTTCTTCGAAGGCAAAGGGCCTTCTCTCTAGATGCAGGGCCAGCGCCTTCTGAGAAGCAGCCTCCTTCTAAGCCTTCCCCCCCCCTACCCCCCCCTCTGCGCGCCGCCAAAGAACGGCGTAAACATGATCTTTCGGAACTCCGTGTGGATTTTCTCGGATCGGCGCTGGGCCCCCCACTTGCCAGGAAATGGTGCCCAGCGCCGATCCAAGAAATCCGTGGCGACCTCCGAAAATTTCATGTTTATGATTGTTTCTTCATCCTAGCCAGAGCAAGCCGTCCTATTTTTCGAGCCAGGCCATGTGAGCCAGTGCAGACCCGAAACAGGAAGTTACATTGTGGAAGCTTTGTGGTGCAATCTATGCGGTGTGAGCGATGTCGTGCAGTTTTCGTGTTGCACGCTGGAGGCGGCAACGAGGCGGCAATGAGCGGCAACGTAACGAAAAATCGCCAGACCCTCCCAACGCACGAGGCTGCAACGAGGCGGCAAGTTGGCGAAACCTCGCCAAACCCACCCAGCGCGCGAGGCGGCAACGAGGCTACAACGGGCGTCCACGTGGCGAAACCTCGCTGGAACAAGGGCGCGAGGAGGCAGCGAGGCTACAATAGGCGTCCACGTGTTGATACCTTGCTGGACCCACCCAGCGCGCGAGGCGGCAGCGAGGCTACAACGGGCGGCAACGTGGCGAAACCTCGCTGGACCCACCCAGCGCGCGAGGCGGCAACGAGGCGGCAATGGGCGGCAACGTGGCGATCCTTCGCTGGACTCGTCCAACGGACTGGGCGGCAGCGAGGCGGCAGCGCGGCGGCAGCGAGGCGAAACCTCGCGGGACCCACGCGGCGGCCACGCGGTGGCCACGGGCGGCAGTGTGGCAAGACCTCGCCGGACCGAGCCAGCGCACGAGGCGGACGGCAACGAGGCGGCAATTGGCGGCAACGTGGCGAAACCTCGCCGGACCCACCCATCGCACGAGGCGGCAACGAGGCGGCATCGGGGTCTAACGTAGCGAAGCCTCGCTGGACACACCCGACGCACGAGGCTGCAACGAGGCGGTAGCGGGCGGCAACGTGGCGAAACCTCGCGGGACCCACCCAACGCACGAGGCGGCAACGAGGTGGCAACGTGGCGAAACCTCGCCGGACCCACCCAGCGCACGGGGCGGCTACGAGGCGGCAGTTCGCGGCAAAGTGGCGAACAAGTGCCAGACCCACCCACCCAGCGCACGAGGCTGCAACGAGGCGGCAATGAGCGGCAACGTGGCGATCATTCGCTGGACTCGTCCAACGGACCGGGCGGCAACGAGGAGGCAACGGGCGGCAACATGGCGAGAAATCGCTGGACCCACACAACTGACGGGGCGGCAACGAGGTCGCAACTCGCGGCACCGTGGCGAAACCTCACGGGACCAGGCCAAGTCCGTAGGGAGACTAGCAAGAACTGTTTGGGGAAAACGGCGCAAACATAATTTTTGTGAGCTCCGCTCAGATCTCTTGTGGCGGCGCTGGGCCTCCCCGGCGGCGCTCCTGGCGCCGATCCAAGAAATCCGTGCGGACCTCCGAAGGTGTCTGTTCACGCATTTTTTTCCTCCAGAGGAGGAGGTTGAGGAGGGGAGGAGGAGGAGGAGGAGGAGGAGGAGGAGGAGGAGGAGGAGAGGAGGAGGGAGGAGGAGCAGGAGGAGAGGAGGAGGAGGAGGAGGAGAGGAGGGGGAGGACGAGGAGGAGGAAGATGAGGATGAGGATGGGAGGAGAGGAGGGATGAGGAGAGGAGGAGGAGGGAGGAGGAGGAGGGGAGGAGGAGGAGGAGGAGGAGGAGGAGGAGGGGGAGGAGGAGGAGGGGGGGGAGGAGGGAGGGGGAGGAGGAAGAGGAAGAGGAGGAGGGGGGGAGGAGGATGAGGTTGATGATGATGCTGATGATGATGACGAGGAGGAGGAGCAGGAGGAGGGGGAGGAGGATGAAGATGATGAGGAGGAGGACCAGTTGAAACCAAAGAGTCATCAACGATGTTGGAATAAGTCCTTTCTCCGAACTCCCTTTTCATAAGCCCCTACAACGGTTCATTTTGACTCGGGTAACTGCATCGTCGGAAGACAACCTCTTGAAATCCTTGAAGCATACCAAAACATTGTTCTCGGGATTCCAGCGCCACGGATCAACCTGACTGATGCGTCTTGACGATCTTGAATCGTGTCAGAACGCAATTCTTGGGACTCCAGCACCGCGAATCAGCGTAACGGTTGCACCCTCATAATCCGGAGTCCTTCCAAAGCGCAATTTCTGGTTTGTTGATCATGGGCGTCCGCGAAACTCTGTCAATTTGTATAAACGAATGTGCGCGGCGCTAAGGCGAAAACCGCATTTTGAAAACCACCCGCCCTCAATCCGTGGAGTTCTTCCTTAATTGCTAAAGCGAATGTGCGCGGCGCTAGGGCGAGAGCCACATTTTTGAAAACGACCCGCCCTCAACCCATGAAGCTCTTTCAAACTGCTAAAATGAATGTGCGCGGCGCTAAGGCGAGAGCCTTATTTTGAAAACGACCCGCCCTCCCTCTGTGAAATTGTTGTCACTTTTTAAGCTTCAGGGTCAAAAGTGGTGAGGAGGTCTCAGGCGAAACGCCCGGCCCGCTCTAAAAACTAGCCTCGGGGTGCGACAGGGAAACATTATTTATAAGGAAAAGGAATGGAGGAGATGGAGGAGGGGGAGGACCAGTGTAAACCCAGACCGTACCAACGATGTTGGAATATACCCTCCTTCCAAGCTCCCTCTTAAGAGGCCTTCACAAAGTGTTTATTTCCACTGAGGTGCCCCGTTGGGGGACAATCGTGAGAAAATCGTAAAGCGTGCTAGACTCCCATTCCAGGACAAGAGCTCCATGAGTCAACCTGCTTGTTGCGGTTGGATCCCCAATCGTGCCAGGACGCCATTCGTGGGAAATCAACATCGCGAATTAACGTAGCCGTTGCGCCCTGATAATCCTGAATCATTCCAAAGCACCATGTCTGGTACGGTGGCCAGGAGAACCAACGACATTCTCGTAATGTGTAAAGCGAATGTGCGCGGCGCGAAGGCGATATCCACATTTTGAAGGGGGACCGCCCTCAATCCGTAAAGCTCTTGGATTTTTGGTGCAGCTAATGTGCGCGGCGCTAAGACGAGCGCCACATGATGTAAAGAAACCGCCCTGAATCAGCGAAACTCTTACTAAAACGAACGCGCGCCGCGCTGTGACGAGAGCCATACTTTGAAACGTAGCCGTCCTGAATCCGTTAAACTCTTTGCGCATCTTCACAACAAGTGTGCGCGGCGCTAAGGCTAAAGCCACATGGCAAAAATCATTTGTCCTCACTCCGTAACGCGCTTGCACGTTTTTGAAACGGATGTGTGCGGCGCTGTTGCCAGCGCCACAATTTGGAAGCGGCCCGCCCTCAATGTGTGAAACCGTTGCCAGTTTGGTAAATTTGAGGCCCAAGCATGGTAAGGAAGTTTCAGGCGAAACGCCTGGCCCGCCCTTCCGACTGCGGTCGGGGTGCGACAGGGAGGAGTTATTGATAAGGATAAGGAGAAGGATTGGAAAAGGAATTGAGGAGGAGGAGGAGGAGGAAGAGGAGGAGGAGGGGGGGGGGAAGGAGGAGGAGGAGGAGGAGTTGGAGGAGGAGGAAGAGGAATCCGAAGATCAATATTAGTGATACTATCGATGCTAATATTCACGATGCTACTACTACTACTACTACTACTACTACTACTACTACTACCACTACCACTACCACTACCACTACTACTACTACTACTACTACCACTACTACTACTACTACTACTACTGCTACTACTACTAAAACTACTACTACTACATAATACTAACTACTACTAATTATTCCTACTGTGCTACTATCGCTGCTACTACTACTAACTCTATACTACTACTCTCTAATATGTTCTTACTACTACTACCGCTACTCTGAAAAAAAATCCCTACTACTACTACTACTACTACTACTACTACTACCACTACTACTACTACTACTAATACTACTATGACTACTACTACTACTACTACTACTACTACTACTACTACTACTACTACTACTACTACTACTACTACTACTACTACTACTACTACTTACTACTACTTACTACTACTTACTACTACTTACTACTACTTACTACTACTTACTACTACTACTACTACTACTACTACTACTACTACTACTACTACTACTACTACTACTATACTATACTACTACTACTACTACTACTACTACTACTACTACTACTACTACTACTACTAC